GCAACCTGTGCAAGGACTACAGCCAGGGGACGGAGAACGAAGAATCACATTTTGTCAGTGGATTCTTGATAGAACTGATAATAATAGGGAGTTTTTAAGTAACGTTTTATGGACCGATGAGTCATGCTTCACTAGACGTGGAGTGATAAATTTTCATAATCAACATATTTGGTCGCATGAAAATCCGCAGTTCGGGAAAGAAATTTTCAGCATGAATTTAGTGTGAACGTGTGGATTGGTATCTACCGTAATCGACTATTTGGACCCTACCTTTTGCCTGCAAGGTTAAATGCTGCGACCTTCTTGGAATTTTTAAAGGCTGAACATGCAAATATGTAGGATGATGTTATGTTAGATTTAAGAAGATTGGCCTGGTTCCAGCTTGATGGTTGTCCAGCTCATTATTCGAGGATAGTTAGAAACTGGCTGGACGAAAATTATCCAGAAAGATGGATCGGCCATGGAGGACCAGTCGCCTGGCCTCCACGATCCCCTGACCTAAATCCATTAGATTTCTTTGTGTGGGGATTTCTAAAAGAAAAAGTGTACCAGACTCCCGTAACCACAAGAGATATGCTAATAGACAGAATCAGGAATGCATGTGATGAAATAAGGCCTTATTTGAATAATGCTATACCACGTTCGATCATTCATAGATGTGAATTGTGTATTGAACAATTGGGTTTACATTTCGAGCAACTACTTTAGATTTTGTATATTTGTCCTAACTATCCAATAGCATTTTAGTTGCAAATAATTAATTTAATTTGTTAAAAATAATATTGGAAAATTAAACAAATTAATATTCTGTTTTTTTTTGTGTTTATTTGGAGTTAGGAATTATTGCTGTGTTTAAAAACACAATCTAAACGATCATCTTAATTACTACTTGTAATGCCCAAATCGAAAATGTAAAAAAATATTATTTTCCCATAAATAATTAAAAATGCATGGAACCTTAAAAATCGAAATATCTCAAAAACGGCTAACTATAACGAAAACTCACAGGAGAGCTTATTTATGTTGAAAAATGCGAGAAATTAGTTTTTTTATTCAAAAAGCAAAAAATTGCACTAAGAAAAAATTTTCGATCATTTTAATACACTACAGGTTCGTTTTGGCGTACCAAAAAACCTTTGTATACCAATTTTCACTGTTATACATCAAATATTGTTCGAAATATTTAAAAAAAAAAATATTTTAGAAAGTAAATTTAAACCCTGTATTTCGGAAGCCACGCATTTTTCGACCCATGTTTATATAGACTTTATGCATTAATTTTAAAAGTTCTATCGAATCTTAAGTTATGCAACAATAAACTGAAACACCCTGTATATGAATATTATCATAAAGATGATTTTGTCAAAAATCGAATACAGAAACTTTGAATATGATGGATGGATGCAAATGTAGGATTTGAACATTTTTTGTGGTCAACAACTGTGTACAATTTTCACTTATGTTTGCTTTTACAAAATGTGACAATATGAACGCCATCGGAAGTGTTGTGATAAAAATGTCTACAAGAATGATTCACGGTTCGTTAGTCAAACCGAAGCAGCTCACACATCGACGTTTGACATAATATTTGGTTTAAAATTAGATAAATTTCAACGCTATCAGAATGACAATTACGAATAATTTTCTGCGCTAGTTGTGGTGTGTTCGTAGATCGTCTTCTGACGATAACTAACGCACCGTACGACACGCCTATTCTTTTCTTGGATTACGATGAAAAAAAGATATGATCGCTGCGTGTCTAGACGATGGCTCCGTCTTATTTACAATTCATGTAATCAGCCCTTCTTGGCCTTGGCCAGTTGTAAGATAGTTACCAACGTAATTACTAATAACAACGTATTCGCAACTATTTATCGGATGAAAAAAGTAGAAAACGGTGGTGGTGGTAATTGCACATAGCTATAGTAGTATACATATACAGATGCGCAATTTCAGATGTGTTCTACAGAAATTGAATCATATTTAGAATGTTTTTTTTCCACTGAAATCCGGCACCCCGGTATATTTTAGATAATTTACATATTCATGATAGATATTACCTGGGAGGATGAAATATGTATACGATGTTTTGAAAACGAGCACCACCATGTATGTAATTATATTTAATTCTCAGCCTCACGACAACAACACTTGGCATAGATGATAGTCTAGTGTCCGTTTTTTGGGCTGTGAATAAATTTTGGTCTCAAATTGAACAGGAAACCCTAGATTTAGCGAGTGTATACAGGGTGGTGCAACGAAAAGGTCTCACCCACATTTGTGACTTTTCAGGTATATTTTGGGGAAAAGAATTCTGAGAGACAATAAATTTTACCCGTACAAGATAAAACTTGTCCATCAGCCTAATGAAGATCATTTTGATAGAAGTTTGGGGTTTTGCAAATTAATGTTCCAACGTTTAATCAACAACGCAAATCTGTTATTTGATATTCGTTTCTCGGATGAGTAATAATAGAAAATGACGTTAATTTTAATTAAAATTACATTCGTTTCCAACAAGACCCGCTCAACCTGTGAACGTTAAGTCATACAGAAGTTTTATTCTGCACCAGAGACTTGGTACGCTTGCACCTGTTGCTAAGATAAAACATTGTTTTTGAGCAATGCCATAAACTTCAGATCACGTTTGTTATTTTTGATGGCATTTATAAATTTTACCTACTACAAAATGGTGGTACGTTTAATAAGTACTTGAACACAAACCCACTAACATGCATATCTCTAGAAATAATTGTTATTCTCTGCCGTATCCACAGCAACAGCGATAAAAACTTGTTTTGTTATTTTTGTTGACAGTGGCAAGAATATCAGTACGAAAACAAACATCATTGTACAGTTAAAATATTTTTAGTTTTCGGTTTTAGTGCTAGATACTGTTTGAACCATTTTTAAAATGGTCAATTCTCGTCCGTTGGAAGAAAAAATCGAAGGATTTTTAATGATCGTTTCCCGTTTCTAGAAAATATTTAAGTGAACTTGTATCTAAATTTACAGCTACTGGTAGTGTAAACAACAAAAAGCCGACCATCCCGGAAGAAAAGCAATTTCAAATAATCGCTGAGATCATAGTAAATCCCCAACAGTCTACTTTCTCCATCGCGAATGTATGTGAGGTTTGTCCTTCTACTGTATGGAGAATTTTGAAAAAGAATAAGTATCACCCAGAGAATTTTTTTTATTGATCCGTTCAAAAAATCCAAGGGAGGGGGACATTAAAGAAAGCACTGTATGTATAAATATAATTGAGATGTCATGAACAGAATGTTATCTTTGATCAACGTAAGCATCCCTTCAAATGAAAAATAATGTTTTATTCCAAGTATACAAGGTGTGCAATATTCTACCAGCGGTTTTTAGAGCTTAAAATAAGAAGAAAAGTTCATATAAACATAGGTCGACAAACATCCCCTAAGAGCGTTACGGTCTTATAAAGGGGCTCCCCTGAATATGGGTTTTCCTTAATATTTCCGAAACGTGTTGAGATAAAGACATAAAATTTGGTATTCTAGCGGAAATATTAAGGAAAACCCATCTTCAGGGGAGCCCCTTTAAAAGACCGTAACGCCCTTAGGGGACGTTTGTCGACCTATGTTTATATGAACTTTTCTTCCTATTTTAAGCTCTAGAAACCACGGGTGAATATTGCACACTTTTTTCGGGACACCCTGTACAGCTTGTGTGTGTGTGGTATGTATGTTTTTTGCAGGATAGCGTTGCAGGCAATGGCAATGGCACAGCCATCATCCAGTACCAAGTTCAATGTCAAGAACGATCGTCGAAGAGGCGATGGCGGAAAGAGGGGGGAAGGGGACAGCGGCGGCGACGACGCAGCGTCACGCGATGCTGCAATTCCAACAACTGTGACCGCCGTGCATTTCAAGTTCTTCTATCTTTCGTACTACGCTTTCGTATCGACTTGCTGTGTTAAAGATTTATAGCGAGTGTTTTATTTAAAGGTGCTTTTTAAATTTCGTCAAGTAGGTTGACTCTTCCCTTACAACCGTCACCGACAAGTTTTTTTTTTTTTACCTCTCAGATCTTTTTCAACAGTGATGGTCAAACAACGAAATTTCAGCGATCCTTACTTTTTTTCGTTCTAGCCATTTTTCTCTGCTGCTAACATGTGTAAATGGAAATCGTTTTTTTTTTTCAAGTTACACCGACGGCAAGAGGAAGTAACAAGTATGAAAACGAACTTATTACAGTTGTGATGTGAAAAAGTATGTGTCATCTTTTTCGTGGAATCGTATTTCTAATTCAGAAAGAAGCTCCAAAGACTCTCCTCGATTTTCGACAAGACTTTTGTGCTGCTTGGTCGGGGTAATAAATAGCTTTACCATAATTGGCAATAGCTTCTGTTGGCAGTGGAACCTCATCGGCATCAGAATCTTCGGAAAGTTATTTTATTCCAACTGGATTTTCAATTTTTTGTCCTGAATCTGGATCTTCAATATACAAACTTTCATCTAGGTTCAAAAAATCGTAGGTTTTCATTATTAGTCGATTTTGGTGTATCAGCCTCATTTAACTGGTCTTCACTTTGCATATTTTCATGCTTTGCGCAAGTAGTTTTGCTTACTTGGTGCCAAACCGTTTTTGCCAAATAAACTGCTTCCAAAGAAGTAATTTTCTTCGTTAACTCAAAAGCTGTACCGGCACTTTCAATCTTTACTAGCACGAGTTTATTAGACTTCTGTAATAAGTTTCAGAACTATAATTTCTTGGTTCAAGGCTTGAAAAATGGAATGGCCATACTGTCAAAAAGAAATAATAAGACAAGGCGTTTTCTAAACTTTTATTTTAAACCTCAAATTGTTAATTGTAACAAGTTTCATGCTGGCAACAATCGGTCACGAAACTAAAAAAAAATTCCACACAAAGGCGAACATTTATATTTTTAAATAGCACAATGTTTTCTTTTTTACATTTCAAACCCACCGTTTGATTGTCATTGACGTAACTTTTGTTTTTTTTTTCAGTCAGCCGACTGCACTGCGAGAGCGAGTCTTTCAAAATGGATTTGATCCTGGACGTCAATTCCTGGCTGTATCCTATGGAATTAGGTAAGTGTCTCCGACATACGAAAATTGACAACGTATCATCGTATTTTCCCAATAAAAATGCCTTTGCCCTAAGAATAATGTGCCTAAGCAGCATATATTTAAGGTCTTGGAAAAGACTCGCACCCGAGAATTTTCCACGTTTATCGAAGAATTGATAAAAACGCTCTTAAATCTTATACAGGGTGTAAACGTTATGATAGTCATTATTTAAATGGGTGATAGAGGAGGTTAAAAGAAGCATAAAGTTTCATATAACATGGGGGTCAAAACGGCACTTTTTATTTTAGAGAAAGGCGACTATTTTGACGCGGTAATCGCACAGATGTATTCAGTAAGCCTTAGTCAATCGTAACGTGCGGTTGGCTGTTATCGTTGTATTGAGTTTTTTTTTGCGATTTTGTGAAGAAGTTTTTATTTTTTGTGACATGGCTGAATATGGAATACGATTTGCCAAGTAAGTAAATATATGGTCTTTACGTAAATAAAAAAAATGTTTTGATCGCTTCTACCAATAAAACACACATGCTTTTTTCCAGTTATAATGCCAAATTACTTATCTTATTATTTCGGATTCGCAATTGCGTCATTGTTGTTCAAAACGGACGCAGGAAAGTAAACGCATATTAAAACAAGAAAGATTGATATTCAAATCAAGTTGGGTACTTTATTTTGAAGGTTCATTTATACCATTTATGTATGAAAAATAATATCGCTCAAATGTTCACCACGACTGGATGGTCGAAATTTTCAATGACATTTTGCAGCATGGTCGGTTCTATGGCATTTATCTCGGCAATGATGTTGTTTTTGAGTTCTTGGAGGGTGGCTGGTTTGTTGACGTAGACTTTGCTTTTCAAATATCCCCATAAAAAGAAGTCCAAGCGAGTCAAATCGCACGATCTTGGTGGCCATGGCACATTTCATCTGCGCGAAATCACGCGATCACCGAAGAAGGACTGCAATCGATGGATATTGACGTTGGTTGTGTGGCATGTTGCACCGTCTTGTTGGAAATAAACATCGTCCATATCCATTCCTTCAAGTTGCGACAAAAAATCGTCCTCTATCATCACGTGATATCGCTCAGAATTGACGGTAACGGCGTCCCCGGTCGCATTTTCGAAAAAGTAAGGTCCGATGATGCCTTTTGACCACAATGCACACCACACAGTCACTTTTTGAGGATGCATCGGCTGCTCTTGATACTTACGGGGATTTTCGTTCGCCCAGATGCGGCAGTTTTGCTTGTTTACCGTCCCATTCAAAGTGAAATGCGCTTCGTCGCTGAACATGATTTTTGATGAAAAATTGGCATCAATTTGGCGGTGTTCAAGGAGCCAATCTGAGAACGTTCGGCGCGAAAAATGGTCGGGCCGACGCAGCTGTTGCGTCAATTGGATGTTGTAGGCGTGTACATTCAAATCCTTGTGGAGAATGCGGAGCAAACTGGTTCTCGAAATGCCCAATTCTTGGGATCGACGCGTTGTTGATTGTTTCGGATCGTCTCTCACACTCTCCTTCACAACAGCAATATTTTCCAGTGTGCGAACGCTCCTTGGCCGGCCAGAGCCTGGCACATTTGCCACAGAACCTGTTGCCTCGAATTTACGCACCAGACGACCGATGGTTGTTTCGTTTGGGCGGTTGTTGCGACCGAAATGTTCACGAAGCGCGCGAAACGTGTTTTTTATTTTTGCACCATTTTTTTAGTGCTCTTGAATAACTTTAATGCGGTCTTCAATCGAATACGACTCCATAGCGATCAATGGTAAACATTCAACTAACAAAATGACATGTCGGTGACAGAAAACAAAGATGGCGTCTATGTCAAATTGACGTTTACTTTCCTGCGTCCCTATTGGACAACCCTTTATTTGAGTGTGCAAAATATTGTACGCCAGGAAAATACATGCCTGTTTCATTTTTAGGAGCTTTTATCTGGAGGAATGCTGGAGGATAATGAAGATGTAGTAGCAAATGTGGATAATATCACACTCCAATCAATGCTTGTGACATTCTCACAGACGAGGACTCCGACGATGAGAATGTAGTGTCAGCTGATAATCTACCGGGTTCACAATTACAAGCACCTGCTGAGATAAACATACCTCATGAAAAATTTAGCATATCTTTATTTGATTCCGAACATAATATTCCATTGTCTGAATTGGCTGAAAAAATAAAAAGCTAAAGAAACGAAAAACGTACAAATGGGTGAAGGAGGATCTACCACAAGAAGTTCCAGGAAACTTCCAAGAAATTCTTGAACAAAATAATTCTTCTAAGACTCCACTTGAATGGTTTTCACTTTTTTTTTTGACGGCGAACTTATAACACTGAAACAAATAGATATGCCAGGCAAAAGAATCGCCAACAAGAGGTGCAAGAGTATGAAATAAGGGCATTTATTGGAACACTGATATTGAGTGGTTATGTCGATGTACCACGTAGAAGAATGTTCTGAGAACGTGAAAGAGATGCTAATAATCAACTCGTCACAGAAGCGCTTACACGAGATAAATTTGAGTATATTATGTCAAATTTCCATTTAGTAGATAACTAAAATTTACAGCAAGGAGATAAGTTTGCAAAAGTTAGACCTTTATTTGCGAGCCTGAATCAAAAATTTATGGAACATGGAATTTTGACAGAAATGCATAGTGTAGATGAGGCAATGGTTCCTTATTTTGGGAGACACTCATGCAAACAGTTCATTCACGGAAAACGTATACGATACGGCTATAAATTATGGGTTGGCGCATCAAGACTAGGCTACGTTCACTGGGTTGAACCTCACCAAGGGTTGTCAACCAACATTAGTAAGAATTATGCAGATTTTGGGGTTGGTGCTGGTATGGTATTAGAATATTATGATGCACTGAGGAGAAAATGGCCAAACGAACAATTTCATTTAGTTTTCGACAATTTTTTCACTTCTCTCCCTCTTATGGTAAAATTGACAGAAAAAAGTTTCTTTGCGATTGGTACTGCTAGAGAAAATCGTTTACAAGGCGTCCAATTCAGAGATTCTAAAATTATGAAAAGGGAAAAAAGAGGTAGTTACGATTACAACAAAATTTCCGATTCAATCATAATTGCAGTAAAATGGCATGACAATAATTTAGTAACACTCTATTCAAATGCCGCAGGATTGCAACCGATTCGCTTTGTAAAGCGATACTCTCAAAAGGATAAAAAAGTATTCAGGCAAGAAACATAATCTGCAAGAAAATCAATCTTTTCAAAAATGCTTGTGATTTTAGGTAGAACAACCTCATCTTGTAAATGTATACAACGCAAATATGGGCGACGTTGATCGTTGTGTTCCATCCGAGGTAAAAAGTGGTATTTTTCACTGATCAGCCACTGTATTGATATGGCTGTTCATAATTCCTGGCAACTTTATAGATCGCACGGAGGACATATGGATCAATTATTATTTAGACGGCGGCTTGCCACAGCCTTGTTACAACAAAACAAGAAACCGAGATCTTTTTCTAGAGGACGTCCTTCGGCTAATGAATATATAGATATTCGTTATGATCGTTTAGATCATTCTGTGATACCACAAGAAAAGCCAACTAGATGTGGCGTATGTCACGATAGAGCAAAAACAAGGTGCTCTATGTGCAATGTAGGGATGCATGTAAAATGTTTTCCTTGCATACTAAACCTTAATGTTCGCATATGTGCCTAGTGTACCATATTTTGCACGGCATTTTTTTACACATTTTCCTAAAATAAAATTTAAAAAATAATAAATTTGTTTAATATATGCTTCATATAGAATCAATTTGCACATACTTTATTATAATTTATTTGAACTAGGCATATCTGGGTTAAAAACGTTTCAGATTAGATTATAAAAATTGGTGAGATTGTGGTGATTGTGGTTGATATAAAGCACTTAAGTTGTAAAGTATAAAGCCATTTAGACTAAAATCTATTGAGTTTTGGACCATGGGTCATACGAACTTTTTGATTTGTTTTGACCCACCTATCACCCATTTAAATAATGACAATCATAACGTTTACACCCTGTATATTCATAGTTCTTAACGTGGACTTGCTTAACTCATTCCGTTATTCATTTCTGTTTAACACCTAATTATGATGAAGTTATTACGCTTTTCCTCCGTGCAAGCATTTACAAAACTCATTAATATTTATTATAAAGCAAAATGCTATTTCATAATGGTTCGCACTGTGCCTTCAAAACCGTTTTATCTCGCTTTAAGTAATTTACCAGCTAAGCAAACTTAAAGGGCTGTTTAATATTTAGTTTCATCTTTTGTCAGTCATCACAATTTATCACGTAGTAAAATTCATTTGAATGCAGAGGGATTATTACTGGGTAATTCCTAAAGAAGAAATAAACAGGATAAAGAAAAACTTCAGAAAATCGCAATTATTTTATTCAAAAAATCGGACACAAGCGCGCCAGCTTTCTTCTTCACGATATTCTGGCCGAATACGAGACAGCAAACGCCCCTACAACACCAACATAAAACACAGCATTAACCGAACGAATGCTTTGTGAATAATTCCCTTGGAATCGTAGAAACACATCATTGTCTTCACTTTTTACGTTTCCAAAAGGCTTTCTTACGGCTTTGGCTCGCTTTGGTGCCCATTCGGCATTTTGAGGCTCGGTTTCGGGATCGTTTTTTATTATTTTATTAATTTTAAACGACGCTCCCTTTAAAATAAATCAACTTGAATAATAAAGGTATGTTCATATAATGTTCCCGGTGACGTAATTTTGGCAACATTGTTCCTGCCAGAGCATGAGGCGGGGATTGGGGTAAATGAATGCAGGGCGGCAGACGAGGGAGGGTAAGGGTGAGCGGTAAGAGCGGCCATCAGCGAGGTAAAAGGTGCTTCCACGTGGAAAGGTCATAGGTCACAGATGGCCGCTCGAACTGGGTCATACGGGGTACACGGGCTGCGATATTATTGTTATAGCAGCCTTCGCGAATATAATGTGTGGGTAGACTATC